GGGTTTGAACCACCAGCCTTCTGATTAGCAGTCAAGTGCCTTAGCCACTATGCTACCAGAGCTCCCACATTGCAATATAGCAAGGCTGTATTCTAGTCAAGGGCTTTTTGCTGGGATTCAGGACAGCAGCATATGCTCAGTTTATGGTAACCCCATAGGTTTAGTGAGGAGCGAGAGACTGACAAACTCCAGAAGGAGATAATGCTGCAGACACGAGAGCTGTTAGTAACAAGATGGCTGCATTGAGAATGATTTCTTTCTCTTCTAAACTGTCTAATAATTAAAAAATATTTATGAGGTTACATGGAAAATGCAGCTATTCCCATTTCTAGTCAGAGAAAACTACCTTAGGGCTGGAACTAGGGAAGTGGGCATTGCTGTGATTAGCCAGTAAAGTTCCAGCATTGTATCAAAAGGATAATAAAACTTACCAAGGGTGCAAGTGTGAGCCTATATCAGGAATCTTATTAATGTATTATTTCAGCACACAATTGAAATGGAAAGTGTATAAGATAGTGACACTGTTCTGAAGAAGTACTTAAGTGTCGTTCGTGATTTAGATTTTTTTAAAAAAAGAAAAGTAAAATAATTTCAATGAAAATGAGGCCAGGTAAGGTTACCTGCTAGTCAACAATGTTTTGGAGGTATTAACAAATGCAGTAAGAGGGTTTTTTTTTAAAGTATAATATTGGAAAATAATTTTTTTGTACTGATTTTATACCAAGAAAATCCAAGAGATTCTAATAAAAGCTGCTAGCACTAAGAGCTCTGGTGGCATAGTGCCTAAGGCACTTGACTGCTAACCAGAAGGTTGGCAGTTCAAACCCACTGCTACTCCTCGGAAGGAAGATTGTGCAATCTGCTTCCGTAGTGATACTGCCTCAGAAACCCAAGAAGGGGTCGCTGTGAGTCAGAAACAACGGCACATAACAACACCACTAAGAGAATGAACGTTAATAAATATACACTAGTAAACTTTTCTGTACAGGGCGTAAGCAGCTAGAAAAGGAAATGGAAAAAAAAAAAAATCTGGTTACATTAGGACTAAAACTATTGTGTCTAGAATAATTTCTCAAGAAAGACATAAGACCAAATGAAGAAAATTGGAAAATCCTCCCAAAGGGCAGAAAGCAACCTAACCAATGGAAAGCTGGATGAGAACCTTTATTTGGAGAAAGCAGAAGCACATTAGTGTTTCAGAACGTGTGCATCTATAGATGAGTGCAGGTGCAATTAGAATGCAACAGGGGATTTTAAGAAAGACCTCAAAAATGAAATACTTAGCAAGATTAACTAGTGGAGGAAGGGCAGGGGCTAGCCTTCTGCTAGAATAAAATATAGAACTGTACCAGTCATGGTTCTTAGTTTTAAATCCCAAAATCTACCCTGACAAATTTAAACTGGAAAGGAATATCACACAGCTCCCCCAGAATATCTGGAAGGGCTGGAAATCCAGGCCCTTGCACAACTAGAAATAACACCAAGCCCCGTTCAGAAATTGTAGCACGAGCAATCTGCTCACCAGCTCTGTCTGAGGGTGCTCAGGACTGAATGCGAGAAGTTCCACCACTAATGCCCCCGAACGGTTGATGGCACTCCACCTTTGCCAGAAGCCAAATCACAGTCATGTCTCTGTCAAGCAGCAAGGGGTGTGCTTAACTCTACATTGAAACCTTGTGAATTTGGCTTCTAATTTGATGCTACTGACGCAACTGGTTATCCATATAGAAGACGATAAAGTTGGACTCTACCATTCCATATATGAAAATAAATTCCACATGGATCTAAGACTGACATGAGAAAAAGAATACAGGAAACTACTTGTGCAACTTAGGGATAGCACAGATATTCTTAACAAAGTCTGGAAACCTAGAAGCTGAAAAAAGATAACCATATTTATATATAATTTTTTAAACTCTTCAATGTCTAATGTTGGGATAATTATAGACTCATACCACCATTTGTCTGTCAGTTTGTCATGCTGTGGTGGCTTGCATGTTGCTGTGGTGCTACAAGCTGGGCCACTGGTATTTCAAATGCCAGCAGGGGTGTCCATAGCAGGCAGGTTTCAGCAGAGCTTCCAGACCAGGGAGAAGGACCTGGCTATCTGCTTCTGAAAAAACTAGCCAGCGAAAACCTGATGGAGAGCAGTGGAGCATTGTCTGAGGACT